ATAATGAATGTGTATTCAAATTTTGCACATAAACGCCTTCATATATTCTAAGTCTAGATCAGAAAAGATCAGAAATTCCATTGACATTTTATTAGTAAACTTTTTGGTGTGAATATGGGAAGGAAACGAAGCAATTTTGGACCTTGTGAAATTTGTAATTTTAGCAATTATGAAAACACTACCTTCCAGAAGTTAAATGAAGATTCCTTACGAAAAGTTTTCTCTAATAACAAAGAGAATTTATGTGTTTTAGAAATAGGTTCACAGTTATGCCATAAATGTTACAATGATCTTGTAGTATATGATAGGAATGATAAGAATAATAAGAATAATGATGATGAAAATTTTTGTTTAAAATTACCATTACATGAAAAAAAAAGAAAATTTATTTTACATGAAGCTGAATATAATGAATTAATAAATAAATCATCAGAAAATATTCAACTTAAGGCAAATATTCAATTTATACAAAATGAATTAGACCAATTAAAAGAAAATTTTGATGAATTATTTTTAATATCAGGCAAATAATTTATATTTTAAATATAATATAAAAGCATCAAAAAATTTTACATTTTATATATATGTTTATTATACTTATTTTAATATTACTGTTTATTTATTTTTAGAAGAAACAAATTTTTGTAAATATTTTACAAAAGAAATAGAAATTTTAACAAAAATTTTATACGATGCTCAACATAAGGAAAAAATAAATCCAATCTATAATGTAAACAATTTTATGGAATATGTGAGTAATAAACATCCTGGATTTGTTCATTTTTTTAATACATTAGTTCAATCAACAAATATTAAAAATAAAAATCAAAAAACAATTGAAAGTATTAAAAAAAAAATTATGGTATTAATTTACCAGTTAGTAAGTATTAGAAATAAACATTGTACTTATTTTAAAGATGATATGGGATTGTTTTTAGTCGGAACTGGCACATCATGTTCTGGAATTAACATGCTATCAAATGTTGGCTTATCAACTACTTATCGTTCATTAATTAACAAAATGAATAAAATAGAAAAAGATCATGCTTTGAGTGTACTAGAATATTTAAAAAAAAAGGTAAATAATTTTATTTATATTTTATAATATTTTATAATATATATATTATTTATTAAAATTAAAATTAAAAATTTTTTTTTTAGAAAATTAATACTTTTATTTTAAATATAGATGACTATCATGACATACACCAATCAAGAATGCCAAACACTACTTCAACTTCACAAGTTGCACATATGATGACTATGACAATAAATACTCCAAATATCCCTTCAATTTATTACTTATCTCCATCTGGATTCAAAGTACATAATCCAAATCTTGTAGACTCTAATAGTTTAATATATTATTTATATAATACATATATGAACAAATTTAGTGTTAGTTATATAAATAGAAAATCATTTTGGTCAGTTCCAGAAATGACTCTCTTACCTGAAAAAGAATTAATAAACACATTATCAATTCACTCATACAATACCAACTGGATTCAAGAAGATATGTATAATATACGTACAATGGATTGTGTTAAGTTGATTGAATTTCAAGAGTTGAATCTTAAATCACTGGATGATTATTTAAAAGCAGCAAATTTTTTATTTCAATTTTCTGAAATTCAAGATTATATTCAAACAAATATAATCCCAATATCAGCTGACTGGCCTGGCCAGTTATATATTCGTAGTGCAATTACTCAAAAAATTTTAAAGTTAAATAATAATATTCCTGATCAAATAACTAAGTTAGTTCCTTTAATTGGTCCTCTACACATCTCACTAAACACACGTGAAACAACATATAAAATTTTTTATCCTTTTTTTAATAAGCTCTATTTGTATGTTTTTAAGGCTAAAAAAGATCTTGGAGAAAGAATATTTCCATGGAAAATTAATTTACTTCTATATCTAAGTTATGGTGGTTGGAAGTTAGTTAGGCAAGAAATCTTAAAAAAATTTAAACTATGTAAAGATATTGAATATGCAACTAGTATTGACTTGTTAGATAATATCATTCCCTCTGTGTTGGATATTTATGGAGTTTTATTTCGAGGAGGATTTTTCGATGAATATATTGAAACTTTATTTCGTGTATGGACTTTTATGGCAAGATTTAAAAGAAAAAATTATGATAAGGCTATTTTGGCTTTTCTAAGTGATATTTTTTACTGGAATCAAATTAATCATCCAATTTACAATTTTATTAGGCAATACTTATCACTATTTCATGATAGTTATGTAGAAAACTTTCACTCTTTATTATGTAGATACACATCTGATAAAGGTTTTGATCCAAAAAGATTAAGGCGTGATGCTTTAGTTATAGATACTGAAAAACATAATAATAATTTTTTAAATGCATTTGTTGAAAAAAAAAAATATCCTTATTCAAAAAAAAATATAGATTGTATGCTAGAAAGATCAGCTATATTTTTATTACAATACTTTGAATCAGTTTGGAATAATTTAGGTAAAACACAAAAACTTACAAAAAGAAAAGCAAATGAAAAACAATATTATGATCTTCCAACAATGGGTAAATTATGGGAAGTTGCTTTACCAACAGCTTTTCTTTCATCACACATTCCTAATACTCAAAAATTTTGTGATGCCAACTTTTGTAAGATTTTAGATCAAAATATTCCAAGCTATTTTTTAACTTGTGGTCATTCATTTCATATTATTTGTTTTAACAGGCAAAATAATTTATGTGTTTATTGTTACCAATATTTTTCAGAAAAGATTAATCAATTAGTTCCTTCTTTTATTGAAAGATTGAAAAAATCTGGACAAGATAACAATAAAAAAAAGAAAAAAAAGAAAGACAATGATAATGATAGTAGTAGTTCTGAAGATGAAAAAAATATTAATGATAATGATGAATTTATAATTTTTCAAAATGATGATTCTGCAAATAAACAATTAACTGAAGCATTAAATAAGTACCAACAAAAAATTATTTTAACTTTAAAAATTTATAATTTAAATTAATAAAAAAATATTTATCTAAATTATCCAATAGGTTTCATAAAAATTGTAATCAATATAATATTAAAAATTAATATAATATTAAAAAAATAAAATTTTTTTTTGATCTTCAAATGTTACACAAAAATGGGAATTTCCACCATGCTGTGATCGACTATGTTTGTAAATCATATGATGTGGGACACCCCAATGGCTTATGTATTTGATGGTGTAGCAATATGCAGTAGTGCTTTTTTAAAATTATATGATTTATCAAAAAATAGATTAACTGGTTTAAAAAATCATTATAAAGATAATGATATTGTACCAAAAGTGCATTTAAGCAAAGGAAAAAAGGTTTCTCATAATAAATTCTCTTTTGAGACAATATTAAAAGTGCTTACTTTTTTAAAAAATTATGCAAATTTGAATGGTTTACCATCACCAGGTAAAATTAAAATGTGTATTATTTATTTAATATTATTAATAACTTATTTTTTTATTCTAGGTTGCCATTTTAAAAGAGATACAAAGGCAATTATTTATTTACCTACAAAAGACAGCTACACAGGAATGCATGAGGAATTTTTATGTTGTATTGAACCTGAGACAGAAGATCATATTGGCTATTCAACCTTTGTAAAAATTTGGAAGAGTTATCTTCCTGAATTTCAATTCCTATCGCCACAAACTGATCGTTGCACCTTATGTAAAGAAATGAGGTTTAATGTAAATTTTTGGTCTTTAGCTGAAAAAGAAAAAAGAGTTAATAATTGGAATGAACATATTAAGTGGGCAAATAAAGAAAGAGATAATTATAGGTATTGATTCAAACTTATAAAATATTTGTTTATTATATCATCAATTTTTATTGTTATAAAAAAATTAGGAGTTGCATACAAATTGCCAAAGAAAGTTTGAAAAATAATGAATTGACATCCATAGAAGAGGAAATTTCTCCATGTTCATCAAATATCAAGGTTCATATTTCATGGGATTTTGCAGAACAAATACACCTTCCATGTTCAACTCAGCAAGTGGTAACTTGATTTTTCCATTTTTAAAAAATTATTTAATTTAACTAACTTTCCATAAAATCAATTAGGGGACTTCATTTTTTAAATCATTGCATAATGTGCAATTATTTGGTATATGTAATGATGCTATACCAAGACAAGTAAATATTTTTATTAAATTAATATTTTTTTAATATATAGTTAACATGCTAATATTTTTGTTAAAATTTAGATAAATTATTTAATTCCAGAAAAATATTCAGTGGGGAAAGGTTCTGATGCTGTAATTTCCATGGTACATAATTACTTTCAAAAATATGGGTTAGGCGAAAAAAATATTATCATTCATGCTGATAACTGTTCTGGCCAAAATAAAAATAATACTATGATATGGTATTTAGCCTGGAGAGTGATGAATGGATTACATAAAAGGATAATTTATTCTTTCATGGTACCTGGACATACCAAATTTTCACCAGATGGTTTTTTTGGTTTAATCAAATTAAAATTGAGAAGATCAGAAGTTGATGATTTTGATGATTTAGTTGAAGTTGTCAATAATTCAACTACAGGTATGCATAATTTGGCACAATCTGTTTATGAAAATGATGAAATAAAAGTAGATTTTTACTAATGGAATGTTTTTTTATCTAAGTATTTTAAAACTCTCCCTGGAATTTCTAAATATTATCATTTTATATTTGAAAGTGAACATCCAGGTTGTATAAAATATAAAAGACATCATGATGATGATTTTGGAACTTATTATTGTCTTTTAAAAAACCACAATTTAGATATTAATTCAATTAATTTAAATGAAGAATTGAAGATTAAAGAATCAACAGGACTAAATGCTTCTAGACAATGGTATTTGTATGATCAGATATGAGATCTAGTGCAAAATCCTGATAAAAGAAATAATATTTATCCAGAACCTTCTGTACCTAGCCTTAATTTTATTGTTTATTAATTTTATTAGTTTATTAGTTTATTAATTGTATATATTATTATTATTATTTTTTTAAAATTTTTGGGGTCAAGATCATCGCATATTTTTCTATTTTAAAAATTCTCAGGTCATAATTTCCTTTTATGGATAATTGATAACAAAAAACTTTAAACCCCTTTTTCTCAAAATGACAAAAAAAATTTTGACTCATTTTCACTTGAGACTCCCCATATATTAAAAAAAATTTTTTAGTGCTTAATTTAAAGATTATATTGAAAAATTTATGTCTTAAGTAAACTATAAATTGGTTCAACTTACCAACTCTACTTCTCTTAACAAAAATCCTAGGTATAGATGATGAAAAACGTATAATTGTTTGAAATTTGCTAACATTCATCCGGAAAATATAAAAAAATTTTACACGTGTCAATTGTAAGTTTAATAATAAAAAAGTGTAAAACTTACGTTGGC